TCTCATAAACGTTAGATGGTTAAAAGTGAACAGTCAAAGGAGGGTGGTTGCGAATAGGAGATCCACGGTTTATAGACTTGAGTAAATTTAGATTGCGTGTCAGTCAAGATGGCAGTAAGCTTTTCATTTATCATAATATCTGTTACCATATTTTTCACTGCTTCAAAACTAAGGGATGGGGTTTTCCATGCTTTAGTTAAGATAACTCATACACTCTCACGGCTTCAACTACCACCTATATGCCGACGACACACAAATCTATCTCTCAACCCCCCACCTCACCCCCTCAGTCTCCGCCCAAATCACACACCTACTGAGCGACATATCAGACCGGATGTCGCTCCACTTCCTTAAACTGAACCTCTCCAAAACCGAGTTTCTTGTTTTCCCCCAGCCCGGACCCCACCCCCCATTGACTTCTCCATCATGTCCAACAACACCACCATCAAACCCGCCCCGCAGGCCAGAGTACTTGGTGTCATTCTGGACTCTAACCTATCCTTCCAGCCCCAAGTCCAATCTTTAACAAACTCATGCAGACTCCACCTCCGCAACATCGCCAAAATATGCACGTTCCTAACCCCAGAAACCACTAAACAGCTCATCCACTCCCTCATCATATCATGACTCGATTACTGCAACTCCCTACTTACTGGCCTGCCTCGCCGCTGGCTATCCCCGCTTCAGTCAATCCTGAATACGGCTTCCAGACTCATTCACCTTTCCAACCGCTCTGTTTCCACCACCCCCCTCTGCCAATCCCTCCACTGGCTTCCGATTGCGCAACGGATCAAATTCAAAATCCTAACACTGACATACAAAGCTGTCCACCATACTGCCCTGAACTACATCACCGACCTGATATCCAAGTACCACCCAGCATGCACACTCCGCTCCTCACAAGACCTCCTTCTCTCTAGTTCCCTGGTCTCCTCCTCCCATGCCCGCCTCCCAGGACTTCTCCAGGGTGTCACCCATCCTCTGGAACTCCCTGCCCCAACCCATCAGATTATCACCTACTCTCTCCTCTTTAGGCGCACCCTGAAAACCCACCTCTTCAGGGAAGCCTACCCCACCCCCTGCTAACTTGCTGACCTCCTCCACTCTTCCTACCACTCCGTCCCCCACAGCTTTCACCTCCTGTGCCACCACCCCCTCCCTCCTAGATTGTAAGCTGGGCCCTCGATCCCCTCATGTTTTGCATTGTATTGTTATTGTTCTGTCACGTGTTCTGTCCCCCTTTGTAATGTACAGCGCTGAGCGAACTATTGGCGCTTTATAAATACTGTATAATAATAATAATATGGGAAGCTAAGGTCTGTTCCGATCTAAAAATGTCTAGGATGGGCTTATTCAGGAGGACTTCATAAGGGTTTATGCAAACATTTGTGTGGATTAGGTAGTGAATAAGGTTATAAACCCTAATCCATAGTCTGGATAATACTGGACACATCCACCATATGTGGGCCATGGTTCCTTCTATAGGGCAGCACCTGTATAAGACATTATATGAGTTTTCCATAATAAAAACATTCTTTGAACTTTTAGAGACCATCTGCCAATCCTCGGGAGCCAGAGTTCTCCTCAGTTCAGTCTCCCGTTAGGTCTGGTATTGCCTGGCAGGTGTCCACTTAGCAGAAGAGATGGAGGAGTAAATCAAAGATATGAGATATGTAAAGCCACAGTGTGGTTGCTTCTACCACAGCTCTCTACGCACACGATTTGATTGACAGCAGAGGGAGCCATTGGTTCCAGAAAGAGAGTGCTGCTGCAGATGGGCACAGTGCTGGTTCATAAGAGGAACCAGGTAAAATCCCAATAAATATAAATTGATTGGTTTGTGCGAAAGGTATAGCGTCTACAAACTATGGTACAGTTGTGTTCAAAGTAATAGCAGTCAGACATCACTAACCTGATCAATCACTGTTTTTGGTAGAAATGATATTTCTACATGGCAAATAATTTACTAGCAGGTGTAGTAGAGTAATAGAAATCCAACAGACCCAACAGTCATGACATGCATGCTGCTGATTCTGTGTAATTGAATCACTAATTGAAAGGGGCATGTTCAAAATAATAGCAGTGTGGAGTTCTATTAGTGAGGTCATTCATTCTTTGAAAAACAGGTGGCAATTATTGCCCTTATTTAAGGAAGGAAGGCAGCAAATGTACATGCTGGTTACAGTGCATTTCTCTCTGAAATTCTGAGGAAAATGGGTCATTCCAGACATTGTTCAGAAGAACAGCGTACCTTGATTAAAAGGTTGATTGGAGAGGGGAAAACATATAAAGAAGTGCAGAAAATGATAGGCTGCTCAGCTAAAATGATCGCAAATGCTTTAAAATGGCAACCAAAATCTGAAAGAAAGCAAAAAACTACCATTCGAATGGATAAAAGAATAGCCAAAATGGCAAGGACTCAGCCAACAATCAGCTCCAGGAAGATCAAAGAAGGTCTAAAGTTACCTGTGAGTACTGTTACAATTAGAAGACGTCTATGTGAAGCCAAGCTGTCTGCAAGAAGCCCCGCAAAGTCCCACAGTTGAAAAAAAGACTTGCTAAAGAGGTTACAATTTGCCAAAGAGCACATTGACTGGCCTAAAGAGAAATGGCGCAACATTTTGTGGACTGATGAAAGTAAGATTGTTCTTTTTGGGTCTAGTGGCCGGAGACAGTTTGTCAGACGACCCCCAAACACTGAATTCAAGCCACAGTACACTGTGAAGACAGTGAAGCATGGTTGTGCAAGCATCATGATCTGGGGATGTTTCTCATACTACAGTGTTGGGTCTATTTATCGCATACCAGGGATAATGGATCAGTTTGAATACATCAGAATACTTGAAGCGGTCACGCTGCGTTATGCTGAAGAGGAAATGCCCTTGAAATGGGTGTTCCAACAAGACAACGACCCCAAACACACCAGTAAATGTGCAACATCTTGGTTCCAGACCAACAAGATTGATGTTTGGAGTGGACCGCCCAATCCCCGGATCTTAATCCAATAGAAAACTTGTGGGGTGACATCAAAAATTCAGTTTCTGAGGCAAAACCAAGAAATAGAGAAGAACTGTGGAATGTAGTCCAATCATCCTGGGCTGGAATACCTGTTCACAGGTGCCAGAAGTTGGGTGACTCTATGCAACACGGATGTACAGCAGTTCTCAGAAACAGTGCTTATACAACTAAATATTAATTAATTGATTCAAAGGAAAGCAAAATCTTCAAAAAATTTTCAATTTATATAGTAAATGTTTGAGTTTGTAAAGAAGAATACAAACACTGCTATTTTTGTGAACAGTCTAATATTCACTTTTCTTAAATTTTTTTAGAGGAACAACACAAATTTGATATATTTTTCTTCATGATTTGATTTGGAATAGAATGTGTAGTGTTCCCAATGCATTTGTGTGTATGGAAATAAAAACTATTACAAGGATTTTGAGCTTTATTCACTTTTTTCAACACACTGCTATTATTTTGAACTCAACTGTATATATACACTGGAATTTTTTTTTTTTTTTTTTAATACTAGTAATGGAGGAGATTAGTGACTTATAGTGGAACTGTGATAGTGCAGTGGGCAATCTGACACTAACAGATGCTGGGTGGGAACTGACTAGATGACACTGACATCTCCAGTGACACTAATACAGTGATCAGAGGGCTCTCTTCTGTCATACGCTAAGCTGATCAGTGGGTTCTGACCATAAATTATTGGCTGGGACCTGCTGATCAGCTTGTGCTGTAGCAAATGACAACACAGCCGAGGCGGCAGGCGTGCACACGCGCCCCCTACCCGGAAAAGCCGGATCATGTACATGTACACGCTTTGGCTCTTCCACAGTATATCTGCAGTAGGCAGTTGGCAATTGCTTAAGTAAACAGTTATTGCAGCGTAAATACATTTGCCAAGGATCAACTTGCAACTGCTTCAAGGGACAAATAAAAATACATGTAAACCCTCACCTCTCAAAACAATTAAGTCAGTTTAAAGTAGTAATGAAAGGCAAAACATTTTGTCTAGATATAAAAAAAATTATAAATACCTTTTTTCCCCTTTTTATAAGTGATCACATACCCTCTGCTCTCAGCTACATAAGGATCTTAGAGAGCTGGGGGAGGAGAAGCAGCATCACATTGATCTTCCCAGTGAATAGCTGTGTGGGGAGGGGGATGTCAGCAGTAGTCTGATCATTGGAGGAGAGCAGACTATGTTCCCAGGACAGCTAGAAAACTGACCACGCCACAATCTTATGGCTGGTGTGGTCAAGTTTTATTTAAAAAGCAAAGGGACTGGCAACATGGTCGGGATTTCACACAAAGGAAGCAACACAAAGAGAACAGGATACTTTTTCATGCATGTACATGCAGCAGGCACATATCAGAAATATAAAATGTTGGCTTTACATATTCTTTAAGTCTTATGCAAGAGAAATTTCAACTGCTGGAAAACATAAACCAGGTATGTATTTGGGGAACCCAAGTGAAGTTGTTCATGATTAATCAGTTAAACATTCTTAGATGAACTCTGCTAGCAAGGCAACACAAACAATCTCCCTTTTAATAAAATACGTTTATTGCCAGGACAGGTGACTTGTATATGATGGAGAAAAATAGAGAAAGTGTATGGGCTGCAGTTAATATTTATGGTATTAAAACAATGTTGGATTAATCTAGTATACTACAGGATCTCATGATACAATCACAATATAATCTCATAATTCCTACTTTCGACGGATGTCAGTATTGCCAAATTGCCAGCCTGGGCTTAGCTTTATACCTTTTTATCACAATGCGGTATCTTGTCTGCTTTCACAATAAAAAAAGAAGTACACTTAACGGTAAACGATCTCTTGTGTTTTTCAATAGTAAAAATAGGATGATTTGAATCATTTGGAATTTTCAGAACAGGCTATACATTTCATTGCATGTTTTGTATTGTGTTTTGTTACAATCTCTAATTTCTTTTTTTTTGTTAAATTATCCTATAATTTTAGATGGAAGTGACGGATTCAGTTCCAACACAAAATTAAAGCTGAGAAGAGGTATGAATATTTAAAATCCAAATATGTCAATATACTGTGCAAATCAGAACATTTAAGGATAGCCACATTCTGTGGTCATAATTACTGCCATTTTTCTTTTTTTGATTGACCATTTATATTTTGAATCAGTTGGCAATGAAGTGATCATGTTTACTATGAGCTTACTTCTTCTCTTGTTAATTCCCCCTTCTATAGTTCAGCAAATACAGTGAGGAACAGAAGTATTTGAACACCCTGTGATTTTGCAAGTTCTCCCACTTAGAAATCATGGAGGGGTCTGAAATTCACATTGTAGGTGCATTCCCACTCTGAGAGACAGAATTTAAAAAAAAATTCAGGAAATCACATTGTATGATTTTTAAAGAATTGATTTGTCTTGCACTGCTGAACATAAGTATTTGAACACCTGAGAAAATCAGTGTTAATATTTGGTACAGAAGCCTTTGTTTGCAATTACAGAGGTCAAAAAAAAACACGTGTCCTGTACTTCTTCACTAGGTTTGCACACACTGCAATAGGGATTTTGGTCCACTCCTCCACACAGATCTCCTCTAGATCTGTCAGGTTTCGGGGCTGTCGCTGAGCAACATGGAGTTTCAGCTCCCTCCAAAGATGTTCTATTGGATTTAGGTGTGGAGACTGGCTAGGCCACTCCAGAACCTTGATATGCTTCTTACGGAGCCACTCCTTGGTTATCCTGACTGTGTGCTTCGGGTCGTTGTCATGTTGGAAGACCCAGCCACGACCCATCTTCAATGCTCTGACTGAGGGAAGGAGGTTGTTGCTCAAAATCTCACAATAAATGGCCCCATTCATCCTATCCTTAATACAGTGCAGTCGTCCTCTCCCCTTTGCAGAAAAGCACCCCCAAAACATGATGTTACCACCCCCATGCTTTACAGTAGGGATGGTGTTCTTGGGATGCAACTCATCCTTCTTTTTCCTCCAAACACGACGAGTGAAGTTTAGACCAAAAAGTTTTACTTTGGTCTCATCTGACCACATGACTTTCTCCCATGCCTCCTCTGGATCATCCAGATGGTCATTGGCAAACTTCAGATGGGCCTGGACATGTGATGACTTGAGCAGGGGAACCTTCCTTGCAATGCATGATTTGAAACCATGATGGCGTAGTGTTCTACCAACAGTGACCTTTGAAACTGTGGTCCCAGCTCCCTTCATGTTATTGACCAGCTCCTCCCTGTAGTTCTGGGATGATTCCTCACCTTTCTTATCATCAGTGATACCCCACGAGGTGAGATCTTGCATGGAGCCCCAGTCTGAGGGAGACTTACAGTTGTCTTTAGCCTCTTCCACACAGGCACAGTAACAGGTCTTTGAGAGCCAGAATTCTTGCTGTTTCTTAGGTGTTCAAATACTTATGTTCAGCAGTGCAAGACAAATAAATTCTTTAAAAATCATACAATGTGATTTCCTGAATTTTTTTTTTAAATTCTTTCTCTCAGATTGGGAATGCACCTACAATGTGAATTTCAGACCCCTCCACGATTTCTAAGTGGGAGAACTTGCAAAATCACAGGGTGTTCAAATACTTCTGTTCCTCACTGTATACAAGTTCCCACACCTCCAGATGACATTACTGGTGCAAGGGTCTTAAAAAAAATATTCATCGATTTTTATGTTTTATTATACTTTTCTACATAATAACAGAAGCCATGTACATCCTTGGTGTACACATGTAAATCAAATGCCACTGTACATGAGCTGCTATATCCATCATGTGTAGAGGATATGTATAGGGACCGAGAAATGTCAGCTGGGGATGGAGGAAGCACTGGACAACAGGCATCGGGCAGCACTTCTAGGAGTTGAAGCAAACTCTATATATGGAAGAGGATAGAACAGGAAGGCGCTTCTACTGTAAGTGCAGTATATCCAGAAGAATCTTTAACCCCTTGGTGCCGGCGCCTCCCGGCCCTTTATGGGTTTCAGAAGCCAGGGTTTTAGGGTCACGTTGACCGCCGTGATTCACTGTCACGGCGGTCACATGACCAGGAAAGTTCCGGATCGCAAGAGGAGATCGGGACCTTTCCGTGAGTACCGGACATGTGTGCAGGGTGTGTACTCTCAGCACATGTGTTTTTCTTAATTGCACACAAATGTGCGGCCGCTCTGCGTCAAGGCTCAGACGCCGGAGGCTGCACATTTGCGTCGGATGGCTCCAAGAGGTTAATAATGACGGTTAGAAACACTTACAAATTCGTAGTTAAACATTCTCAATAAAATCGTCAGAGTGCAGAGGCTCAATCCACCATGTGAGAACCCACTGGGCCGGCCAGCAGCCGCAGGGGGAGCTGAGGATCAGATGTCCAAGATGGCCACCGCAAGTTCAGGGATCGCTGGAATGCACGCTGGAGCATACACTGTCCTGAAGACCGCAACCGGAAGTGACGTAGGTTAGGAACAGGCTTGGTACCATGACGCATTTCGGAGCATGCGCAGAGCACCTTCTTCAAACCAGTCCTGAAGAAGGAACTCTGCACATGCTCCGATACGCGTCACCGTTCCAGCGTGCGTTCCAGTGATCCCGGAACGTTCGGTGACCATCTTGGACATCTGATCCTCAGCTTCCCCTGCAGCTGCTGGCTGGCACTGTGGGTTCTCGCATGGTGGATTGAGCCTCTGCACTCTGATGATTTGATTGAGCTTGTTTTAACTACGAGTTTGTAAGTGTTTCTAACCGTCATTATTAAAGATTCTTCTGGATATACTGCACTTAGAAGCACCTTCCTGTTCTATCCTCTTCTATATCCATCATGTGGTATCTGCCTGTGAATGTTCTCATTTATCCAGGTCATGGTATAATGTAGCTAGTAATAGTTAATGGCTTTTAATTGGACTTTTTCTTTAACATAAAAAATACTTTACCACTCAACCAAGTATCTTTCTTAGATTTAATAAACGTCAGGAACATATCTCATCATTCATAACCACATGGACAACTTAGTCACCTTAATTCAATTGCCATGGAATGTATGAAGGCAGATATTAATTGTTCAAGAACTTGATAGGAGGTGGAAAACCAAGCTGTTCTGATTAAATATTTCCACCATGGTGCCCTGACAGGTGTTAATTGTTTGAGTACCTTTGGCTGAAGGTGTAAATTGTCAAATGTTAAAATGGCTTTATAGGCAGTTGGCACATGATGTCAGGCAGTATCCAGTATACAATAAACTTGCTAAGCGCTAGATGAAAGTTTTTTTTGGCAGAAGAGACATGCAGTCTCCTCTGCCAAAAGTGCCCTAGCAGTTTTTCTTTTTTTTTAAGCAAAGTTCTGCTTTACGGTTTAGGAAGACTGCTAAGTTCTGACCTGCAGTGTTTACCCTCCTCTGTTGGGCAAAATGTTTGTTGAGGAGTTGTTTTATCTCCCCAGTGTGCAGAACACACAAAGTATTATATTCATAGTCATGGGCAGCACAGTGACTAAATGGTTAGCACTTCCACCTGGCAGTACTAGGGTCATTGGTTCGAATCCCAACCATGGCACCACCTGTCTGGAGTTTGCATTATCTTCCTGTGCCTGCATTTGTTTCCTCTGGGTACTCCGGTTTCCTCCCACACTCCAAAGACATGCTGTTAGGTTAATTGGATCCTGCCTAAAATAGCCCTAGTATGTGTATGTATGAATGTGAGTTAGGAACCTTAGATTGTATGCCCCTTGAGGGTTAGGGACTGATGTGAATGTACAATATATATATGTAAAGCGTTGCGTAAATTGACAACAGTATGTAAGTACCTGAAATAAATAAATAAACCTGTATGTGGTAGGCCCTGATTTGCTGGGACAGATCTGCTTTTTTTCTGCCCTGCCCTATTACATTGTGCTCACAGCTCATTTGTATGCAAATCTTACACCATTTTGACCAACTCACCCAATACATGATTAGGCTATCATTATACAGGAGGCAGATTAGACACAGTGCATATCCTAAGAGATATACAGTATATAAATATTTGATATATATCAAGTTTAGATTCATGCAAACAGTAATTATATACTTGACAATAATATATTGGTTACCAGACTGTAACCTGTGGGCATATGGAAATATGGATGTATTTAGAAAACTGTACCCATGGGAGTGGCTGTGAAATGATCATAAACATCTCTGCAACCACCACCCTCCAGGGCCACAAAAAGCTGATGCAGCTTTTTCCAAGAGCCAACAATTCTGTTACAGTAGACCAAACTTAAACACTACACAGGACTGGACTCTGGAACCATAGAAAACCTTGTTCCTACTTATTTTACTGTTGCCAATTGTCTCTTTTATGTATGATCTTTTCCTATATATATTTTGTTAAAATTGATTTTCCTGTCTTTTTTTTTAAATTAAATAATAATTTAAAATCGTTAAGCTTTATCTTTAAAGGACTAAACCAGAACTTCCTGTCTCTTTCAAGAGCACTACTAGATTTTAACTTGTTATATATCTGTCTGGTGTGACAGTATATATTACACACATTTGTTGAGGTCAAAATTGCTATAACAACCCTATTATTGATCCCTCTTAGTTTGATGGCAGTTAAATTGCGCTCAAGTGAGCTGGGAATCTCTGTGCAGAATGAGGCTAAGAGTGCCATGCCACATGCTGGTGAGTGCAGGTTAGAGACACTGCTGTTTTCACAGTCCTAACCCCTGCACTGCATTTTCTAGGTTCTACATCACTGCATTCACACTGCTGTACATTATACTCCTATCCCATGCAGTGTATACACAATGTTGTCAGTTACACTCCTGACCTCTGCATTGCATTTGCTTAATAAACCCCCATCCCCTGCACTGAATACCCTATATTTTACTTAATACTCCTGACCCCCACATTGCATTCACTATGTTGTACGTTATACACCTGACCCCTGCATTGTAAATGCTTAGTTATATTTTTACTTTATACTCCTGACCCCTGCACTGCATTCACTATGTTGTACATTATATTCTTGACCCCTGCACTGTATAAACTATATTGTACTAAGCT